CTACACGACCAGGTTTCGCAATTGGTGAATCTAAACAAAACGCAGAGTAATTTCGCGGGAAAAAAAAGAGAAAAAAAAAAGAGGTCGAGTATTGAAATTGCGTAGCAGCGTGAGAGATTGAATTGGAAGGAAGAAGGGTTTGAGAAGCAAAGAGGAATTACGTGAGGGTCGGACACTCCGAGAAGTGAAGCGAGGTACCTACATAGACTCAGAGACAGAGAGAGAAGTCGTGAAATGTGGTCTTAGCTCTCACGCTATCAAATTGAAGACGAAAACCCCTCTTTTGTGATACAGTGAGGAGAATAGCCCCAAACGCGGCCCTATATCTCGCACGAGTACGGAGGCCCTTTTCGTGTGAACTTGCCGTTTCCTTCCAACAAAAATAATGCAAAACTCCCCTTCTTCTCCTTCTTTTTTTTTTATTTTTTTTTTAGATATCGGAGTGTAAAATTCATGTGGAAATTGAAATATCAATCTTCTTCCTGTGGCCAATCACAAAATGGTTACGAAAAAAAATAACAGAAAAAACTGATCAAAAATATCACAATATGGTTGACAATTAACATATTGATGGGTTTGTTTAAATTTAAAAAAAAAAAAATAGGATATTTTGTATCTTAATATATATATGACTCGGTATGAGTTGATCAAATCTTATATTATTAATATTTTTTTTATAATGTAAATGTAACCGATCCATGATATTATATTTAATATTATATTATATTTATCAAATTTTATATAATTTAAATTTTTTAAACATGTTATCGAAAAATAGATATTTACATATATTTTAAATATTATATTAATCTCAAAATAAAATAGTATGATAAAATACTAAATAATTTTAGAATCGTGTAAATATTTAATATATATGATTTTAATCATAATATCACATAATTTAACAATAGATAATACGTATTTTACATCGCATGATTTAATTTTAAAATTGGTAAATATCAAATAAAAATTATGAAGTTTTTAAAAACACCTAAAACAATAGTACAGGTGATAATTATAATCCGTAATCGATTCAGATGATATATACTTGATTCCTTTTTAATTGAGATTTTAAGTTCAAATTGTGTGAAATTTATTTTTTTTAAAAATGAATAATAGTTATTTTATATAAATAAAATAAATTTTATGGTAAATTTTTCAGTCAAAATAAAAATATTTTGTACATTTAACGAAATGTTATATGACATAATGCAATTTGTCAAATCATAAAGAAAAATATAAATATTAATATGCTAAGTAGCACAAATATTGTTTAGTTTGTATTTTTTTATGTTGTTTAGTTTTTAGGTAGCATATATATAAATATTGTTTATATAATCATCTTCAACTCAGTTATTTTATTTTAGTTGTATCTAATTGATATGTCATGAGATTTGATTGAGAAGTCGTTGACCATTGTTGAACGGAGTCGAGCTAGGTCTTGTTGGCATGAGTTTATTGGGTTGGTAGGTTTAACCCTTGCCAGTACACACAAAATGTACATTCTAAAAGGGTTGGTTATCTTTCTTTTATAATGATCTTTTTATGCAATGATTTTTTTTCCTTTCTTTGAAGTCTATTTACATCATAATTAAAGAGAAAACAAGAGCACTTAAGTCAACGAGATCACAAAGCATATGAGTATATGGAAAAATGTCATAAAAGTTAAAATAAATAAACTTGTCTATTTTATAGATTAATGAATCTTATTTTTAGTATGTAATTATCGAGGCCATTAATGAAAATAATTAAATTTGTTCTTGTTATCTTATATACCATATTTATCTTAGTTAATTAAATTCCTTTTTTTTTTAACCATAGTTATCTTGTTTAAGTTGTGTTCGACTAATATGTCCTAAGCATTGGCTAGGGGATCATCTATTGTTGTTGGATGAAATGTCATTGGGGTTGCGAGTTTATTGATTAGGTAGACTCAACCTTTATTGGTACAATAACCATGAGTGTAGGAGAGACAATGGGAGCTAATGATTTAAATTATGTTGTTATAATAATCATGTTGACCATGTGTCTGGTGGAGTTAAGAGACTTGGTGAAGATACATGCAACACTTCCCATGACATCCATAAATGAACCTCTCTAAATAAGACTTATTGATATTTATTCAATGAACTTCGTGGGAAGTGGCTAATGAGAATTAATTATTGGAGAAAAACAAATGAAAAAAAAAACAACAGTAACTACAAATACAATTCTCAATTGTTTGGCACTTATAATTCATATATGCACATGTCTTTACATTGGTATGATATTATCCATCTTGGCTCAAACTCTTGTGATTTTGCTTTTGGCCGTCTCCTATAAGACTTCATACAAATATAGACTATGTGTGCTTTATAAAATTTTATTTCTCCTCGTGATCCAAAGATGTGGGACTTTATGTGTATCCTGACAAATTTTCCCTCAAACAAAGGACTATCTTCCTTTTAGTTGAAACATTTTTTTTATTTACAAGTATTCAATGAGGATCCTTAGAGCTTTAGTTACACCTACTCAATTATAGATATTTGCACCACCGTTAGTTCACATCAATGAAACATGTCATTTTACCTCTATACTACTGAGAAGACTTTCAACATAAGGGATTTTACACTTGAATCCACCATCTACCATTACCAAATACTCATTTGAGATTATAAGTTAGTCACCTAGTTAAAACAATCAACTATGATACCACTAATGGATACTTGGGGTTCACATGCACATATCGCCACATTTCTATGATATCATTCACTTTGGATCTAAATTATTGTGATTTTGTTTTTAATCATTTTTCAAAAGGTTTCATACTAATAAAAATTATGTATGCTTTATAAATATTAATTTCTTTTTATGATTCAATAATGTGAGATTTTATTTGTACCATAACATTAATTAACATGGACAAATTTTAATATGTGTTTATGTAGTTATTGATCAAGAAGCATCATTTGTTACTCAAGTGGTGATTAGCTTATAAGAAAAAGGAATAATGGACTATACTATTGTAGATATTAAAACAACAAATTCTCAATCCACATTACAATTCATTGCCCTTTGTAACTCTAGTTGAATATTTTATATATTGTGAACGTCACACTATAGTCACTTATCACTCAAGGTCTCTTCTATTACAAAGATGTTTTGGTCGTAAAACTTATATAGTAAAAAAAATTTATGCATTTACGACTTTTTGAAAATGTTGCTAATTTAAGCTTTTAGTTAGACGAAAGAAGTATGACTGATTTATCATTTGTGAAAAGCCAATAAAAAATGTTTGAACTTATATTCTTATTAATGTAGGATTGTTTAAAAAAAAAATTTCTGTTGTTTTAATCTCTTTTTTAAAATATTTTTTTAAAACTTAAACAAATTGATCTAACATGTATGGAAGTTATGGAGAAATAAAAGCAGTAAAATAACTGTCTAAAAACGCTAGAATTTAATTTAACTTTACATGTCATTATAATTATGACACTCTTTGGTTATTTCTAACACAATTTTTCGACGCATCATATAAACTATTATATTTTTTTTCTCTCTTGTTCTCTCTAATTATCTAGAGACATATAGATAATATGCCTTGGAGAAAGAAAATTTCTTCTTATTTCTTCCTACGTGAGCGTTGGAGAATATCCGAGGGCAAAAAACTAAAATAAGTTTTTAAAACCAAAGGGGAAAAAAAAGTAATTAAACCTTGTTTTGACTTGAAATTAACTTTAGATCTAAGTTCAATTCTTACCTTAGGTCCTTAGGGCCTTAGGCAATCAGGTACTCGCAAGTCATAAAAATAAAGGCTTGGGCTACTACTAGTGGTCCCAATTGAACTAGGAAAATAAAACTTTAAAGTACAAAGCACAGGAAAGGTGTAATTAAAAAAGATAGATTTCAATATTTCATTTGATAGTAAAAGAAAGAGACTTATAAAGGCTTGGGCTAGTTCTTAATGAATAAAACTAGGGTACAGCAATCCTAGAGGAATTTAGAAAAGATCTAGCATTTACTTGGAGAGCAATCAAACAGAAATACCAATATAAAACTAAAATATCATGGTTTAAGCACTCTTGCTTTCAAGCAGCTTATCAATCATATCTGCTGCTTCTTGAACGGTGGTAATGCTCTGGGCACTTTCTTCTTCCACACTAATACCAAATGCCTCCTCAAGTCCCATCACAATCTCAACCTGCATAAAATTTGAAAACCAAGTCTAAATAAATGATCAACCAATAGATTATAAAAATTTATATGACAGATGCAAAAAATGCCAATTAGACAGCTCCAGTGATACACACAGGGTGAAGTAACTGGAAGAGGGTTGATATGAACCAAACATTACAATGGACTCACAGAACATTTTTATTATACTATTCATCCATGTAGACCAAAAAACAATGTCAAAATGTTTCTCTAACAGACACGATAATAGTCTCAACTCTCGAGAAACAGGACAACCAGGGGAAGAAATCAATACATATTTATTTGCTCAAATAACTTGAGCCATTTTATCAAGGATACAACAATTATAAAAGACTAAATGATCCAACTTCAATACATCATTAACAATGAACACAGTGCTATTTGTACAACCAGTTACAACAGCAGTTCAAACGGAATGTTTTTATTTTAATGATCTATTCCTCCGTTACATTAAAGAAACAGAAAGAGAGAAAAGAACAAGCAGAGAAGGAATGGTTTGTGGAATTCTAACAAGTAGACTGGGTAAGGGTGTGTTTGTTTTGTGGTTACATTCAACTTAACCCAAAAATAACAAATTACTTGTTTTGATTTTTTTTCATTGGAAAGTGAAAAAAGTCCGTTATGGTGTTGAACGATTTCCAAACACCCACTAAAACTAATAGCAATTACAACCAAAGGGTAAAAATTATGGGGGCATGTAATTGTATACACCAGTGGCAGTGACTAATAAGTACTGTAATAATAAAATAGATAAAATAGCAAGCAATAATGAAAAGAAAATACTAACCAGTGCCTTAGATAATGTTTAAGGGATGAAAAGTAAAAAGATTTTTATTGAAAAGTATAAAAATATACTCCTTCCCTATAACTTCAACGTAATTTTCAACAAAATCTTTGATTCTTTAACTAATTAGCTGTACAGCAAGACTCACAACAAAATGACAATAGATACAATCAAGTATTGTGAAAAAATTGAGCCGAGATTTTATGCGAAGGCAATAATTCTTGCATAAATATGATCATACCGTGTCAAGAGAATCTGCTCCAAGTGCAGCAAATTTGGACTCTCCATTGACAGCGGATTCATCTGGTAGCGCCAGTTGTTTCTTGACTATGTCACACACTTTCTTTACAGTTTCTGGTTTGGCCTGATCAAAACAGCAACAAAAGCCGCAATCAGCACAAATCATGGATGAAAGATGAAGTATAAAGAATCCAAAATCGATTCAAGAAGAACTAAATAGAGTTGATAAAATATAAAATTGGTGGCGAAAGACTCACTGCACATGAAACTTGAAGCCGAGGCACTCTACGCTGCAAAGTAAGGGAAGGAAAAGTTGTGCCCTTAATTGAAAGGGAAACTAAACCCGTGTTAGGGATCCTACGAGCAGGTACCTGTTTTTGCATCGAATAAGGAGTGTGGGAAAAGAATTGTGTTAGTGGAAACAGTGATGCAGATAAAGAAGATTGGAAACAGTTAGTTAGCATTTACCAGTGTCTGTGTTTGGTTGAAGGAGAAGGAGGTTGCGGTGATGGAAGCCATTTGATTTGATTAGCGAGATCTGAAGAGAAGAAAGGGCGGAAGCCACGAAGAGTGTGTGTGTGTGTGTGTGACAGCGAGACAAGTGCGCTCTTTATAGTAAAAGCGCCGTTAATTGTTGGTTGGTTTCGTTACTTTCGATGTTTCTTTCTTTGGTTGGTTTCGTTAGGTTTGCCTTATTCCCTTATGCTTGTTTTCGTCGTTTTATCTCCGTTTCGTTCCCCTCCGCAAGCCGCCACGCCCGTTTACCACCCTATCTATCATTTCATTAATCAAATTAAATAATACATTTTATTTCATTTTTCACTCTTATAATCATGTTTTTTTCTTCTAATTCTTCTAAATTTATTTTTTAATATCTGTCATTAAAGAAGTTAATCACGAACGGAGTGTATTTTCATAAAATAAAATAATACGTATTATACATGAATTTACGTAACAAAATATTAAGTAACTTTATTACCACAAAATATTAAATAATTTTTTTAATTATAAATATTTATAAATTCAATCTATTCAATATTATTTTAATTTAATAATTTGATTATTAAAATTTAATATATATAATTAAAAAAATTAAATTTAATAAAAATTATTATTTTATAAAAGTTATTTAATATTTTATTATATAAATTTAAATTAATCTATATTAATAAAAAATTATTATATATTAATTTTTGTTTTATATTATAAAGTATCAAATAATTTTTAAGTATTATAAAAATTTATAAATTTAATTTATTTAATATAAATTTTTAATTTAAAAATTAAATTATTAAAATTTAATGTATATCATAAATTATTGAGTATAATAATTCAAACAAAAATTATTCTTGAAATACCTTAATCTTTATCCTTATATTATATTATATTATAAACCAATAAATATAACATTATAAAATGGATCGGACTTGTTGAACTAGTCTGAATTTATCCTATAAATGTGTGTAGACTTTAAATTTTAAGTTCGAATTATATATAGACATATATATAATCCAATTACATAAAATTCATGTAATAAACAGATTTAATTCAGACTAATTAGATCGAGTAACGGACTACCGTCTCCGTATATATCATTCTTAAACACGAGTTAAATTTTTATGTTATAAACACGAGTTTTCATTCTTAAAAATGAAAACATCTCATGTTATAATGCAAGAAGATTATTTGTATTTTAAAAGAATTCGGATAAAAATAACATTTTCACGAAAGCAGACATTCAAGATACATAAAACAGATGAATAATATAATTTTATGAAGTTTGAACACAAGTTTTATATGGGACTAAATCTTAATTTTCCCCCAAAGTCAACTCTCGCATTAGATAATTAACATAAACAAAATACAAATTTGAAGAATTCAAAAGGATGTATCTTAATTCACTTTCTAATAACTTAAGTAACATGCACTGTCTGATACGCAAATCAGGATTTTTAATATAAAGAAAATTGAATTTAGAACTTGTATTCTCCCTACTAGTATAGTGTAGTATGGATCGAGATCAAATTTTATAAATGAATAAAATATGGTCGTAAATGGATAAAATATAGTTAGAAAGGAAATTCTTACGAAAAATGAAGGTTAATTTTTTAATGAAGATTAATTATCAATAAATTTGAGAGATATTTTATGTTAATAATATAATTATAAAACTCTCTAATAGAAATTAAATTAAATACATGGTGTAACAGTGTATTTACGTAGATAATACGATGTAACAACCGTTCCTATATAAGACCATTTTTAATAATATAATTCATTTTTTGTTCTTAATGCATTCTTATTGGTCCCAATATACTATGCAAGATTTAAGAGCTATTTCTATTTTGTCTTTGATGGAAGAAGTTACTCATGTTCTTAATTCAAGTTATGTGAGTTCCATAATGGAACTATTTTCTTCCTTTTTATTATCTAAGAACACATTTTAAAAGCTTTTATATAAAAACGATTCTTACATCGTGACATCTACGTTACATAATATATATTATTTCAATGATAAAATTTGAAAAAAACGATTCTTATATTTAAGAACCTTTATTAGAGATAAAAGAAATCTCAAAAATTAATTATTATCAATAAAATATATTTTTACTTAAATAGATATAAATAAACATGGGGTTATGAATAAATTAAAAACTTTGAGTTAAATTCTTCCATTGAACAAAAATAAAGAGAAAATTTAAATCTTAAATAACATTGAGAGACTCATAAAAATTGGTTTACCGAAGATATTCTAAATAGGCACTTAATTAACACAAGTGATAACATTTTGTGTCATTTATCTAAGCTATTTGTTGTTTGAATTTCAATTTTGTATATAGAATAAACAGTGTTAAAAGGAAAATATTCATTTTGTGTATGTTAATGATTCCCAACAATGATTAAATATTATTTTTTGCAGTAAAATTTTATATTGCAAAATCAATAAAGGGAATCAACATTGACCATGTGCTTGGATTAGTAAATTTAAAATTCCAAATATTTGATGTAATGCCATTTATTCCACATTTTATATTAATCATATAAAATAAAAGGTTTTAAGGATAATATATATGAAGAGAAAGTCCACCAAATAAAATAAAGTCCTCAAAATGGAGATCACATAACAAACTAAAATTGAAATGATGTTCCAACATAAGTGATTAATAAAATAACATCAAATGAACTATAACAATCATCTTAAACATGAATAAGTAACAAAATCCAAATCCTAATTACGTCTTAATGTCACATCTTATTAAAACACAAGTCCAACACAAGATCTAAGTCTTGTCACCAATATTTTTAACATCATGATGACACTCATTAGCAACAACATGCACAATAACACAACAATGAAGAGGAGAGTGATAAACATTTAACTTTTGCAACAAGATGTAGCACATTTAATGAAAAAAAGAGTGAGAAACATATCTGAATAACCAAACACACATAAAAAATATATAACAACAACAATATTGCATAGCATGTTCAGTCATAGAGTCACAATATGTTTCATCACACGAATATTCATTTCACGATTAACACAATATGCACGTGACATTAGTAAAAACACATCTTTGTCTTTTACTTTAAGGCACTAAAGAAACCACTCCTTGAACCCCAAAAAATACTTACTTACTCGTAACATTCTGTAACATCCCAAAAATTTTATTCTTATGTATTGGGATTATTAGAAGGATTATCATATTTTTATACGTATTTTACTATTTACGTATACGTATTTTACTATTTATGTATACGTATTTTTACTATTTACATATACGTATTTTACTATTCACGTATACGTATATGTGAATAGTAAATGGCTGCTAAGGAAACCACGAGGGAAGCAAGTTTCAATTTTTTAATTAATTTTAATATTTTAATGAATAGTGCATAGTAACTTATAATATTATTTTAATGAATAGTGCATAGTGCATAGTAACTTCAAAATTTCTATAAATAGGGGCCTAAGGTTTTGAAAATTTAGAATTCTAGAGAGAAGGAAATTCTGGAGAAATAGAGAGAGAAAGTAAGAGAGAGAAGGAGAAAGAAAAGGAGGTTCTGCTCCAGTGCCGTGTTTAAGGAGAAAGAGGAAGAGATTCTGCCCTAATTCCGATTCCTTTTTAAGGAAAGAGAAGAGGAGATTCTGCCCAAGTTTTTAGAGAGTTATTGCGCTAGTTCCAACTCCTACTTATCCAGGTAAGGGGGGAGTGGGAAACCTTGCTTGGGGGTGTGGGAATAATTGTTAAATAGTTTGTTTGTTGGATTGGCTCCCGATCTCTTGCTTGCTATTTATTTCTTTGAATATGTATTATTGATGTGATTTGTTTTATATCCTATTTATTTACATATTAGAATCTATTATTTGAATGGAAGGCTAAGCCTCCTAAGTATTTATAAATTTGTAATCTGTTATTTAAATGGAAGGCTGAGCCTCCTTATTATCTTATATTACCTTTTAAGCTTCCTACTTTACTTAAAAGATCTTAATATATTATTATTAATAAATATGTAATTGATGTTAAAAAAGAATAAGTTTTAGAATAAAAATACCTATGCGAACTTATGAAGATCTTATTATGACTTGAGTATATGAAGTATATATGAGACCTATGCGGACCTATGAGGATATGACTGTATGAAATATGTACTCATGACTTGTGACCTACGATCCATGAATGGACCGTTGAACTGTTGAACTATTGGACCGTTGGACTATTGGACCGTTGGACTATTGGACTGTTGGACTATTGGACTATTAAAGTTGGATTAATAAAATAAATCATAATTATGAAATATGAATCTTATATGTGTAATATGCTAAATGTTGAGTCTATGAATGTATGACATGCATCATATGCATATATTATTCCAGGTGTGCCGCTGAGGCCGCATACCAGTGATGCTAACAAGGTGTATGATCACCAGTGATAGGTGTGCCTTCGGGACACCAGTGATGTAACATGCTAACGAGGTGTATGAACACCAGTGATAGGTGTACCTTTGGGTCACCAGTGATAAATTCTGAAACTTCCGTATGGCGCCACATGCATACATTAGTGAGTCAAGTCAAGAAAATCATTATACATAAGCATATATGTGAGATTGATTATATATGTGAATTATATTGCGTGTGTGTGTGCTATTTAACTTTTATTTCTTCATCTACAACTGAGTGAGATGTTTCTCACTCCCTTGTTGTTTTTTTTTTCTGTATATGTTTAAATTTATGTTGCAGGTGTTCATCATCATGAGGATGTTGGTGATGAGGCCTAAAGGTTTCTTGGGGCATGCTCTGATAGGATGTGACATCGGGTTTAGCTAGGATTTATCTCATGTTTTTCTTATTCTAAAAACATTTTCTTTTCTTGTGTAATTTAAATAAATTATAAGTTGATTCCTAACTAGGAGGCACTGCCACCTTTACTGGGATTGATTTATAATCTTTGTTTTATTATGACTTCTTAAGTTATATATATATGTTAATGAATTTATGAATGTGCATCTTCTACCTTATGATACTTATTGTTTTATATCAATCTATGAAAATCTTTTATAAATATAGTTTATGTTTATTAATGATGTTGGGGTAGAGGGTGTCACACATTCCACTAAAAGTTTTTTTTAAGAAACCTACTCGGGATAACAACTAGTACATAGAATTAAGAAACAAATTCATTTGATGTGCATAATAGACTTGAGAAGGTGA